GTGACTGGTGTTCAGACGTGTGCTCTTCCGATCTCCCCAAAACCCCAAAACCCCGGGGATAGGCTATCTTGAAAATTAGCAAAAATGCTTAAATTTTATAATAAAGTGATTATTATAATTAAAAAGGGTAAATAATCTCTTAAAATTTGAGGTAGTCATCAATAAATCAAATGCAACGTAAGTGATCTAAACAAGCACTATAATTCTCAGCCTTCTTCAAAATTGAAACTGGATTTTGTTTTAAATCCATGCCTTACTGATATTTAGTGGCTAATTTTTTAGATAATCTATACGACGATGATGCTAGTGAGTCAGGATCAGGCTGGATATCATGGTTTTGCGATTTAGAGGGACATGAGTTTTTCATTGAGGTATGTCAATTGATAGGATAATAGGCATCTAATTCGTTTAATAGGTTGATGAGGACTACATTAGGGATAATTTTAATCTTCATGGTTTAAAGGAGAGAATTTAATACTTCAAGTAAGTGAAGAACCTTACAATAATCAACAATTGTAATTATTATCTTTAGTGAGGCTATGCAAATGATACTGAGCGCAGATAATCCAGATTCAGAGGATTTGAATGATTAGAAGTAAGGAAGATTATTTGTCAAATATCTATAGTTTCCTAGAGATATATCAGTCAGCTATGGATCTATATGGTCTTATACATGCTAGGTTTATTATTTCACCCAGAGGACTAGCGATGATGAAGGAAAAATATATGCTGGGATCTTTCGGGTATTGTCCAAGAGTCTTATGTGAAAGGTAGAATATATTGCCTATTGGTGTGTCAGAGGAACTTTCAACCTCTAGAGTTAAAGTTTACTGTCCAAGATGCTAGGATGTTTACATCCCAAGGCAAAAGTAGCTTGATATTGATGGAGCCTACTTTGGCACAAGTTTCCCACATATTTTCTTAAAAGTACTTAAAATCAATTTAAAACATTTAATATAGACCTACACAGAACTGATTCCACAAGGCCCACCAAAGTTCATCCCTAAGATCTACGGTTTCAAGATATTTGGCATGAGAGGATCGAAATATGAATTAAAGTTTGATTTTAAAGGTCAACCAGTTAACGAAGAGGAGATAAGAAACGTTCTAAAAAAGGATAAAAAGAGCAATAAAAGAGACGAGGAAGAAAAAATGAATATCTGATAAAATTATTAATAAGAGCCTTTATGAAGTAGCAGTCAGGCAGCTTGAATAGAAACAGGCCCTCTCTTAATATTGTATTTAAATTTTAATTCGTTACTTGTCATATTCTTATCCAAAATAGTTTTATAAATTAATTAATTTTCCTTGAATTAATGTCAAAGTATTAAATCATTTTTCTTCATCAGCTTCTAGCCACTCAATAATTGTCTTCAATGATTAATTTAGATATACCAGCAGGTTTCTTGCTGTTTTTGAAGTATCTGGATTACCAAAATTCAAGCTGATCATGTTTCTCTCAAAATTATAGAAGATGTCTAACTTAGGGAAATATTGCTCGTTTCTATATGGATCTGCAAGACCTGTTTGCATCATAAAGGTATAATAAACCGCTCTAACCCAATCCATCAAAGAAATTGGTTTGTATTGAAGATAATTCTACACAGATTGTTTATAAAGATAAAATTTATTACATCTAGATCATATCTTTTATGCAAGTTAAAATAGTAAACAGCTAGTTAGTTTGCCCTCTTGCTCATGATCTCATCCTCAATTAATTAAGGCTTTCTTCTAAGAAGAGGACCAAGGAGAGGGTTTTCAATTAGATCTATTCTTTCTTCCTTAAAATTGATTTTTTCGAATAATATTCTTCCTTCTAGATCGACATGATACATCATTCTCTAATTAGAATAAATTTGGAAATATTACAGCTTTTTCATCCCAATTAGAATAAGTAAATGTCTTCGGTAATCCTCTAGCGATTCTTGATATTTCCCAAAACACATAATGATCTCTTCTTATTCTGTATATGCTCTTAGGTATCAACATATTTGGTCTTTTCCTCATATCGAATTCCTATTATTTTAAGGGATTGTCTAAAATTTACGTGCTAAGTGTAGTTATGCTTAACATATTTCACCAGATAGAATGCACCGAATAATGCTATCCACATATTGTAGTAATTGTAGGGTCTCTCTATAAATATAATTCTTAGTTAAGATGCCTTTCATAAAATGATGCTTACGATCACCTATCTCGAGAGAATGAAGTAATTTCGAAGTCCTCTTAAATATTGTTTAACATTTGGGGCTCTTGCCTCATCTAGCTAAGCAAACCAGCTAGGGCCAATATTCTACTTAGGCTTAAGGGAGTTGAATTTTGTTTTAATTTGATTTCCCATAATTTTAATAATTGAAATATTATAGTTAAATTAATTAGATTAATTACAAGCTTGATCATAAGACTACTATTTAAGTAAATAATCATCTGTCAGCCTTGATCTTCTTTTTGTGTTTTTGTTTGGCATCATGAATTAGCTTTTAATACTTTACATACTCCTAAATTTTCTCCTCTTCCATAGTATTTCCATATATTTTCCTGTACTTATCTACTAGAGTGTCTAAGGGTTAATCCAAATTGATTTTAAGCTTTCTCTATGCCTTTAACTCTAATCTTTTAGCATTCCTTTTTTCAATTCTCTTTTTTAATCTGTTAGGTAGCTCCTCAAATGGGACATTTAATTTTTCTTCTTTTTGTTTCTTAAATTTCTCTTCCTTTGCATTTTTTTCTTTTTATTCTTTTTTACTTAGTTTCTTTTTCTCATCTTACTTCTATTCAACATTATTAACTTCCTAACCTTTCTCAGCATTTTCATCATTCTTATTACTATCTTCAAGATCATCTTCTTAAATCTCTTTATTTTTCCTTTTTTTACCATTATCTTGCTTCTTCTCGACTTCCTTTGCCAATTCTTATTCTTTAACTTTCTTTTATTAGTCCTAATTTTTGTTCACTTTACTTTTCACTATATTAGTTTTAACAGTTGAAACGTCTTCAAAACTCAAGAAAAAACCAGCACTGTTATTTTCAGTGTGCTATTAATCCTTAACTTCGTTTTATTGCTTCTGAGATTTTTCATTTTTGCTAATAATATTCTTCCATGACGAGGATTTAATATCGACAACTTTCTTCGAATCAATTTCAGCATGTTCATCTGATTCAATTTCATAATCATTGCTCTTATAGCTATAAGTGTTTTTATGGATTATTTCCAGCTTCTAAATAACTTCGTTCTTGCTATCTTCCCTCTTTTAGTCCTCCTCAGTTTTCACCTCCTCTTTTTTCTATAAAAGATTATAAGATGTTCTATATATGATTGGTAAATTCTTACCAATAAATGTTAGGTACTGGATCTTTTTGGATCAAATCTCTTAATGTGAAGTTACTTATTCTTTGAGCCTTCACTATTGGTTGTCTTTAAAAATATTTCAGATTAAGGGACTATAGTTCCCAATATCTTAAGTGCATTTTATTTCTCCTTTTCAATATTAAGTTCTGGATCCCATTATTAATTTTCATCTAATGCATCAATCACCTAATCTTCTTTATTTTTCTTCTAAAGTATTGACTTAGAATTCGATATCTTACCTCTACTTTTGAATCGCTCTTATCATTAAGTAGGTCTATCTCTCTTTGGTTCATAGCTCCTAACATATCTTCTGGTAATGCTTTCTTTCTAGAAGCTTCGACAGAGAAATCTTTAGTCAGCTAAAACCTATCATCTCCTTTGTAAGACTTTTGAAGCTAAAGGAGCAAATGCCCCTTTTTCCCTTCGTATTATTTACGAGAGAACAAATCATCATATTTGGCTTCCTTGGCTTTCTTTAAATCATTTCCAGATTCTTCATCTGAGCCCATCCAGTCCTCAAACTTTATCTTTTTTGCTTTTTTCTCTCTTTTCTCACTTGAGATATCTGAGTTTCCACTCATCCGACGAGATGATTTCATTTTATTGTTTAATATCAAATTTTTGTATTTACTTAGCAATTTGGGGTTTTGGGGTTTTGGGGTTTTGGGG